ACACGAGTTTATATCCCTGTAAAAAGAGAGGACCTTGTAAAAAAAAACCTTGGGGGGGGGAGAGAAAAAATCCCCAAAAACCAAACCCAGCCCCCCTTTCAAAAAAAAAAAAATTAATTTACCCCCCCCCCCCCTAAAAGAAAAAATTAAGGGCCCCCCCCCCCCCCCCCCACACCCCCGGTTGATTCGGCCTTTTAGGATAAAATCATAAATTTTAGCTGTAAAATTGATATTGCTAAATACTTATATTGCTTACAGTTTATATTGAGATTCCTGAGACATCTCTAAACATCTCAGATAGGCCGTTATAATGGATCAAGGGGGTGGGAGTGGGTATATTTAGGGGAAGGGCCCCTCCTTTTTTTGGATTGCTCTTTACCATAACTATCGTTCTTACTCACTGCCTAAGTTAGTAACACAAATTGAAAATGTTCTTGGGTCGTGATCTGAGGAGTAGTTAGGTGGACTGGAAGACCTATATTTGCTTTTGGATGGATAGACCATACAAAACCATGGACATGGAGAAAATCTGAGGGTCCAGCCACTCGATCGCCTACCAGATGGCGTGAACGCCTGATTGAATCAAAATTAGCCTCTGCCATGGGCCGGATACTCCTCTTCACAAGTGTATAGGCCATCTCAGTTGCCACAGAAAGAACCTTCGCTTACGCCGCTTCAAGACGTTCAGTTTAAACAGGGCATTTTCAGCACCTTTAGACCCACATACAGATCCAGCAAGCACCATTTGCCTTCATGCCTTGTGCCCGACTCTTTTTCTCTGCAATAGCTTGCGTCCAAAAAAGACTTTTTGCGAGTTAATACATACAGGGGTAATTGCAGCTCAAGCTGAATTTCAGTCTCGAATTACAGCCTTGACTCAACGCATGGTATCTCATTGCCCCTGGTTATCCCACCAGATCTGTTGGAGTAATTACCGTGGACAATTCGTGGGGTCGTAGACGAGTCTTGGTTTGATCCATTTTGAAATGAGCCGTCCTCTTGTGCCTTACTTTTCCTCTGAAGTAAAAAATTGGTTGCAGTTTTTAAAAATGTACGTGTGTCAGATGAGAAACGCCTGTCTTTATTGTACAACGATCCTGGGTACTTTCCACACAACTTACTGCCACGAGTCTGGCATCTAAAAAGAAAGGAGATCACTTCACGTCGAACAGATGATCCAATTAATAGGGACCTTGATGATCCTAGAACGGCTAGGACAGCGAAAAAGTCGATTAAAAAGTGGATTTTTCAATCTCCGTTGCAATTATTCCAACTCAATTACAATTATTTCGTCCAATGTAAGTGAACTCTGGAGTTGAATTGTTGACGTCCTCTGCGTCCCCCTTACAATGCAAAATTAGCATTTTCATGTTGTAGTCTTGCAGTGATGGAAAAGAAATGTAAAAATAGTGTACAATAGAGCTCGAGTTGTTGCTTTACGTATTAACCCAAGAGCTTTACCCTCTCTCGCTTAAACACACGCGTTCTCGTTGCCTTCGCCATCGTCGGATCTTAAGGTCCCTAAAATAATACTTCTGCAAGCATTTCAAGCAAACTATTCGATATCCGATAAATGAGAGCTTTGAATCATAAATTTGTGGGTTGGGCGTGGCGGTTTACATCATGAGGGAGGACTATTGAAAGTTGCGACTGAAAATCTCGATCTATTTTTTGTTACCTTTACTTAATTCTGTTTGATACGTGTAGAGCAAGACTAACAAAACTTTAACAGTAACCATTTTTGAAAAGAGTCGCAGGCCAACTCAATCAACTGAACAAAGTTGATGGGTGGTTATATAGTCCAAAATTTCACGTTAGTAAAATAAAGACCTCAAGAACTTCCTAACTATAGCGTATCTCTACCGCTTCGCTGCTAGGGACCAGCGACGTCACAAAAATAGCCGCCATTTTGGTTATTCAGTGAAAAGTTTATTGCATGAGTTCTAGAGTTTGTTCTAATCAAATATTACGACTGTATACTGTTTTACGTTTTGTGCACAAATATGTGCAACTTGAATACTGTTGTTCGTCGCTTTAAAGTAATTGGCATTAGCACATGTAAAAGAAGGCCGTAGACGTAAATCAAATTTCAGTCGTGAAAATGAGTCCAGAGAGTATGTATGAAATTATAATAAAGATAGAGAAAAACTGAGAAGGCCAGCTCAAAATCATTTTGGCCAAAAAAGAGTTGTAAAAATGCTCACCTTAGTAGCCTTCCAAACTCACGCCTGTAGTTACGATTGAAGACTGCGTACACAATGGGGTTGCAGCAGCTATTGGAGAACATGAGCCAAAGGCTAAACATAAAAACTTGGAAAAATACGATTTGTCGCGCACTTTCAGGCTTGAAGTTTTGGTACAAGGTCATAACATGGAATGGAAGCCAGCAAACTAGGAATAGCACGACGACTATAACCAACATTCGAATGACGCTTTTTCTTGCTCGGGTAGCACCTGCAAATAGTTGAATAAAGAGGTATTTGCTGATATGTTAGCCTGAGAAAATTGCCGACATTTCGCGACGCGACCAGTGTTTTCCCCGCTTCTGCACCATCTTTGTCGCGCTTAAGGACTAATGCTCTCTAGATCCTCCGGCGTTTTCATGGAATATACAAACTCAACCGCGATTCTTATATTGGTAAATTCTGTCGCTTGTTTAAATTTGCCCCTGAATTACCACCTGAGATTGCTTTTATCCCATCAATCCTAAAGCTGGGCAAAGATGGTGGGCAGTGATCGTAAATAAGGTCTATTCCACACTGATGACACGTAACGTCCCAATTCTGGATTGTGCTCCTGATCGGGTGAAGTACATTTTCAACCAATCAGAAGCTGACCGGAATCAAGAGTTCCAAAGCCGACTTATCTGGGTAGTGAAGGGTCATCGGTATGGAATTTCTGCGCTCGTTCCTTTAAAGGGAAACTTTTTTGTTGCGTCGCGAAATGTTGGCTGTTTTATTAGGGGTTCGAAAACACTTAAACATAGCGTTGTTGAGCGTATATAGTATTTAAACGGTAAATACAGGCATATTTTTATCCCCTCAAAATTCTTCATCTGTTCTGATTTCCTAGCTCAAAGTCTAGTAATCCAAAAATTATAGGGATCAAAACTTACCTTCGAAAATTTCAGCCGGAAAAAAGGCCACGAAAATTGTAGGTGACCTTTTTAGGGTAAAAACCCGTTAAAAATAAGCAATTATACCATTTTTTAGAGGCAGGCAAGCAAGAAATTTTACAGCAAATGTTCCGAAAATTCTAGATCTCAAATCGTTTTCCGAACACTGTTTTCCAAAAATTGAGGTTGGGTGCCCCTGTTTTATCAGGATTACACAACAAACACAAAAGAATGAATGGTAGGATATTGCAATTTTGATGTTTGACTGTTCATTGTAGCAGTGGATCTTAAGGCGCTCTATTAAGTCTGGTTCTCTTATGCTGCCGAAATACCTGCGACATAGCCACCGGTACTGCCTGCGACATCGTTCTGATATGAGAACAGAAGTCGCCGGCAACAGAGGCCATGTCAGTCTTTACCTCGGGCATGCCTGCGAAGTCGAACTCGAGTCAACTTCGCCGGCGTGCCGGCTGCACAGACTGACATAATATATCTCTGTTGCCGGCAACTTCAGTTCTCATATCGGAACGGTGTCGCAGGCAGTATCGGCAGCTATATCGCAGGTAGCTCGGCGACATATCAGAGAACCAGGCTTTTCGTCAAAAGTTGTATTAAAAGGCGAGACAAGGAAAGATAATAATAATACGCGTTCATTAATGTTTTTGTTGTTCTCCTTTATGCCCCACCATAAAATCGAATTCTTAAACCACCCGGGCTCATATAAACCGTATACCTTTTTTTAGGTATGTGCCGCCCCATCGGTTAGGGGTTTTGCGCCGTTTTGGTCTGAAAACGGGTATACACTTTGCCCATTTTGGTCTGGAATCGGGTATGGTTTTCGAGGGAACTAGGGAGTTTATGAAGACGTATTTATCGTTTTAATTCCAAATGAGTAAGAAAGAAAGAGAAATATGTGAATTCGAAATGGATTTGAATAATTTTGTTGTTTGCGCTCCAATATAAGTAATGATAACATATTAATTTCTGCCTAAAGGCGCAGGTCTGAAAACAGGTATGAATTTTAGAGGTCTAGTCTGAAAGCGGGTGTAAAAAATGATATTTTTGGTCTGAAATCAGGTCAGGATTTGAAGAATCGGGCGGCACACCCCCACTAAGAATTCGTAGGAGTATCCCCCCCCCAAGTTAAACCAACGACGATTGTCCGAAAATCCTCCTTTGTTAGGCTGATTTTAGTTCAATATTCTTAGTTCAAAGTTCCACGAACAAATTACTGGCTTTATTAGTTTTCCGGGCGCGTTTTAGTGTTCAGTGTAAAGCCAAAATTACAAAAAATAAATCTCCCTTCATTTATAACAGTCATTAATGATATTTTTTAGCTTCATTTCAGTTTAGTTTTATGAACTAATGCTTATAAACGACTGATTAAAAGTATCGTAAACCCTCCAGGTCCATTTTGTACATGTAGATCCATTATTTTGTTGTGCTCAGTGACCTTTGGTTGCCAACATTAAGAATTCATGATAAAAACTTCAAAACTACTGCTTTTTGTTATCAAACGAATCAGTTTTAACCAGGAGCATTGCCTTTAAGAACTGTGTTGGAGAAAAATGGATCATAAACCATGTGACAAATAGCATACTATATGGTCTTGTATACACGGAAGGCAAGGCTGTTATGTTCTTGCTTCGTCTTTTATTGTGGTGAAATGAAACAAAATAGTAGCTTAAGTAGAGTTCGCGCAAGATTGCCATCTAAATTGTTTTGTCATGCTTTTTAAAAACTAGAAATGTATTTTAATTATAAATAGAGGATGAACATAATTACCAAAAGAAAACCGACTACTGACGTATAACAGAGCTAAATAACTCGTTTCAGTTTCTAAAACTTCAAAACTGTTGATAAAATATGTCGAGGAATTATTAATCAATTGCTCCTCAAAAGCCCTCCCTTAATTAATGTGCTATTTACTGCCATTAATTAACTTTAGATGAACGTCTCAATGGAAATGCCTTTATCTGCGGGTGGTAATAGAAAATTGTTTGTAATTGGAAGGCAGTTTTTATTAATAAAGAGAAAATTAGGCATCGAGATATCCGTTATTCAAAAGAGTAAAGGAACTATCTCCGTCGGGATCGTTTCAAGTTTTAACCGGAAATGGAAAGAAATAAAATCTAGCTAAGTATATTGTATCTTTTTCACCTTGATAAACCTTAAGAGAGTTATCAGAGCTGCTATGTTCCTACGGCAGTTTTAATTATGAATGACTGGTCTATTTTTATATCCAATTTCTTTCACTGTTTGTGATTGCCAGCCAGCTAATGGTTTTAGGGCGAAATTATAGCGGAAAATTTTGTGCTTTCATTAATTTAACATTTTTATGAATATGCAAATTTATCAGTTTATTGAGAAAAAAAAAATTAAAATGTTTAGCGGAAAAATTTTAAGACGTGGAAAACTGTCACCCGTGTATCATTTGAATGTAGAGACTGAAGGTCTTTGCGCATTTTTATACTGCTAAGAGTAGCTTTCAATGAGCGTCAAAATATCATAAAGTCTAAAAGTACAATGCAGATCTTTTTTGTCAGTTAGTAACAGCATGAGTTTCCGAAACATTCAGAATGCACTTGCTTGCTAATGCAAAAAGGCTGTGAAACTAAATCAGATATCACTGAGATATGGAGTCACAAAAGGTTAATAAATATAATGGTTTAAAATTTCACTTGACTGGTATTTCCTCATACCCGAGCTACACGCACAACTTAAGTTAGGAAAAGTTTTGCTGTAAACATACGAAAATGAATTATAAAAAACGCAGTGATTTAGGTTTATAAGGCTTTCACTGAACCTTTAGGCGAGCGTGCCTTCCGGAGTAAATGTTTAACCCTGCTGGTAGAAAGAATTTCCCTTCCTTATCGCGCAGAGTAGTAAAATTAATCACCTTTTATGAAGGATTTTTTTATCTCTTCCTCTTTCGAGAAAACTAATGGTTTTTCAAACTTAATTTAAACCTTTTTGGAACCCACGCAACGACGAGGAAGTTTTACTTTTAAACTTTATCTGTTTAAAATTTAAAACAACTCACTGACAATTCAGTCCCCCAAGGGAATGACGTACATAAAAATTGACCCGGGTATAATTTATTGTGTTAATTTGCAAAGTTTGTTTTCGTCGATTCAATCACTAGTAAATTTCAGTTCGAGAAGATTTCCGTAAATTAAAAGGAAATTTTGCATTCATTAAGAAAAAAGAGACAGCTTGACATTAGATTCCGGTTTCTTATAAAACAATGCTTTTAAAAAATTAATTAACACTGCCTGATCTATATTGTAGGTTTTCCTCGCCAGTCGACCACAAAATACTCACGATTTTGCTTTTATGCCATTCTCCACAAATCAGTTGTTTACTTTCTCATTTTAAAACTTATTTACCATACTCATTTTCTAATGCTTTTTTCAATGTCATTAAAATGCAATGAGATAGAACGAAATGGGTGTAAAGACACTTATTGTCCAAAGAACAATTCTGCTATATGAAACCTTTCCGCTCGTTTCCTCCAAAGTGCTGCTGGACACACTGAAATCTTTTGAATTAAATTTGCTTGAATTTATCTACACGTATCATGAGTGAAAATCAGCGACGACCTAAATGGTTATAACTCAATCACTCACCAGGCACCTCACCAAAATCAAAATCGACCAAGAACTGAAAACGCTCTTTTTAATGAAACTCGCCAAATAAGTGCCACACGACTGAACGTCTCAGTTCTTCATTAGTTTCTTTTTGACTTGGTGGTGTTAGAAGAGCGTTGTTATACTGTTTCCCCGGATACCATCATGGGTAGTTAAATTGTTTAGCCTTTTCAGTTCCCAAAGCTGTTTCTTAATATTTTCGCCACAACCATCTTGAACGCGTCTAAAAACGTAATTTTTGTTTTAACAGATCTTGAATCTGTCAAATTCTCTCTGGGTATCCATAAGCCAAAAAAAGGGGAAAAGACACGACTATCATTAGCGTGCAATTTGGCTTTAGAGTATTTGTTTATGGATTATAAATTCCAAACAGACTATCTGAATTAGCTACGACTTGTAGTGAAATGAAATTCTATATTTTGGGGACAGGGAACTTCATTCAAAAACGTTAATTTGAGCTAAAATGGTTTTCTTACAAAACAAAAACAGTGAAAGTACAACTTTTCTTTAAACGAACTGAATTGTTTTTTATTTCACCGAATAATTTTAGCTAAAGAAGACGCAGTGTAAATAAGGGAAAAAAATTCACGCGTTTTGCTATTAGTGGATGTAGAAATCCGTTTCCTAAGTTAACTGATTGTTTCATAACAAATCTCCATATTAAAGTTTACTTTTGGTTTCCAGCAAGAAATAATTTGCGTCGCTGTTTATGTTTCCGTTTCATCCCAAGGTCCGTATTTTCATTTTCCGTTAGCTAGCAGGGCTTTGCTTTAATCAATTTTAAAAGTAATAATTATAGTCCCCCAAAAAATTAAATAAAGAAAAAAATATGTATCTCTATGCCGACACTTACCTTCTTGTGTGGTGGCCTGCGAAGAGTTAAGGTTATGGCAAATAAGAAAATACAGCAACGATATGACAGTTAGAGGTATTACATAAAGTGCAACTGCAACAAACACAGTGTATATTTTTTGAGCTTCCACGCTCGGCCACTCTTCGGAGCAGAAAATGCTGCGATCGTCTAGTTTTTGGTAGAAAAAAAGTGGGAAAGGAAAGATTGAAGCTACAATCCAAATCGCGACGATGATTGTGATGGCGTGTCGTTTGCGAATTCTGGGCAGTAATGGATGTACGATTGCTCGATACCGGTCTGCAGCAATGGCCATCAACGTCCCGACCGAGGCGAAAACCGTTATTCCTTGAATATAATTTATCAACTTGCAAAGGAAAAGACCGAACGGCCAACGTTTCAAGGTGGAGTATATCACTGCCACTGGGGTATTGATTAGGCACACGGTCAGGTCCGCGACTGCTAGGTTTGCTATAAAAAGGTTCGTGACGCTTCGCATGCGAGGATTTCGATACGCCAATATTACCAGAGTGTTTCCTATGGTGCCCACGATGCTTATGATAGCATAAAACACAACCCTAGTGTATTCCATGAATAAGGGACCAAGGTACGGCAGCGAAGTTGGAGTAGAAGAGGTCATATTGGTGAAATTCGTTAACGGCGGCGTGCCCATCATCCTTTCGTATTTTCTTCTTCTATTTGTTTGTTTTAATTTCTTTTTTTTTTCGATTCTTGCGGTAGCTAAGTTCCGGGAAATTAGTGCATGTAGAGTGAAACACAATGCCAGTCGTACCAATACAGCACAGAATCCTGCTGCAGTAGAGACCAACAAATGATCAGTTGCTTTCTGTTCCACTTTGTGATTCACTAACGTTTTCAAGGACAATGTCAGTCCCGCAGCATTTCTGGTAGAACTGATTTTTAAACGCAGAGAGCGACCTTTATAACCATTCCTCAAAAGGAAGCAAGTTTACCACTGATAACCTCTCAAGTATCCACGCGGGTTCACTTTAATTTAACCGAGATCTGCGGCGATCAGTTGACGTCAACAAACTCCTTAAGTCGCGATTGGTGCAGATGGAAATGAGCAGCGATGATGAATGCGGGAAAGCCAATTTCGCTTCTCGTTATAGCTACTTTTCGCGGGTTGACTGGCTAATTCTGATGAATTTTCAATTCCATATTTAGTTAAAGCAGATGTACCAGTCGACGTACCTATCAGCATCTACTGCAAACATTATCATCCGGATAACCTGTGCGAGGCCACTCATCAAATAAAAAGTAGACAATTTTGTTTCCAATTAAATCGTCTTGCTAATAATTTTCCCTCGCCTGCTGCCGGCAAAACTCCATCTGCAATGTGCTATGGGGTAACGGGAACACGCAAGTCAATGATAGAGCAGTCTATATAATACAACTCACCATGCCCTGATCGAACAAATGCTTGAACCTGATTTTCCCGTAACCTAAACAACTAGCTTCCGATTTTCTTAAAGAGAAATGTTTTCCGCCTCTTAGTGGGTCAACACAATAAAATGAACAACAGTTAGTTATTAGTCGGTTAGTTCCAAGTGAGGAGCGAAACTTAATATTATGCCTTGCGGCTTAAGTTTAGAATTAGAACGACAAGATATCATCACCTGCTGTAGCTTCAAATAATACAAAAAGTCCTTTTGTTGCCCTCCCTGTGGCGATTAACGTGTTGTAGTCAATCGTATGCTTAAGCTAAAGGTTGATCTACTTTCCCCTTTAAAAAGTGTCTATTTTAGTAGATCTTGGGTATTATTTGAGCGTGTCAGTTTGGAGTGTACGCGTTGTTTCTCTCAGTTTGTTCAGGCAGCTGTGAGATTGTCATCTAGAAGGTAGCAAACAAAAGAAATTTTCAGTTGACCCAATCTAACTACTTAGCTGTCGGATCAAAAACTGTTATCGCTTTTCGCGACATACCAAGATATTTTTGCGTACAAGGCATACATTGAAACTATCTTCAATCTGTCCCTGGATAAAAATTACATATCGGCATACGAATCATCGTAAACGGTATCTAGATAGTTCTTCATGATCAGGATTTTTTGTCAGCTGTCGCAAACCTTTTGTTTAGGTGGTATTCAAATCTGCAGTATTTGAAGTCTTTATATAATGTTATTTCTCTTTGGTCTGGGGTTTCCACTTAGATTCACGGTTAAATGTTTTGAAAATGTTTAATTAAAAAAGGGAATTTACCAATACGCGACTGTTTAGGCAAAATAAATCCAACATCCTTTCTCCGGTAAATAAACTTTTCCTTTCTAGACATTTTTAAATTGACAAAATGTAAGTTCTTTCTCCTCCTTAAGGTTTTAAAGCTATTACCAACGACATTATTATTTCTTTTTCATTATTTTGTTTTGTTGAATTAAATTATAATTTTTTAACGCATGTCACACGCCCAAGTGAATCCTTCCACTTTTGTAAACCGTTTTTCAACGAAAATCTCCTGTAGTTTTAAGTGCAAAACGTATAACATTTTTTTTTTCAATGGTAGTGTTCTTTGTAGTTTCTGTGAGGACAAACAAAATCCACTAAGAAAACCAAATAGCTGTAACATATTTTTACGGTTTCCCTTAGATGTAAATGACTTGTCAACACTTCACCAAATATAGAGAACAGTTTTATTAATAAAATTTTTCACCCAAAGAATATAAAGTATTCTCCAACATCTAAAAAAAAGTCTTAGTTTTTTCTATCCACTTAGCTGTATTTTTATTTGAATACACTGTGTAGTAATACTCCTTAAATTATGCTCGTTCTTTTAAAGCAATGTCTTGCCCAGCATTTCCATTACGCTTGAAAATATACGGACCGTTTTCAAGTAAATCAAGAAAAAGCAGCCGTCCTCGATGTGTCAAAATTAAAAGGCTCTACTGACCTCGGTCTGTCAAAAGAAACAAAAAATGACATCTTCTAATAGTGGAAACTTTAAACAGCTGCAGTGAGCTCGTTTCCAGGCTCAGTATGCTGAAACTTCCTTAATTTCCTCCCCCGGTTTTTCTTTAAAGACAATTTTGTAAAGAGCTTTGTTTTCGTCAAAGTTTAGCCATTTAAATTCCCGTATTTCTGCTTCTTTTATATTTGCTCCTTTATTTATGTCTGTGGGCATTAAACAAAAAAACCGACAGTCTTGACATACGTACTAAATAATGTAGTCTACATAGATCTAGAACTCAGGCCCCTCATTGCTGTGCAAGATAGTAGTGCCTGAGAACATTGTTATAACTTACGCGATGAAAATAATGGAAAAACTCCCCTTAGGCACGATATGTGGGCGATTATTGTGTCTTCTGGCCAAATCATTTACTCTCACCTGGAGCTGCCAAACATTCATCTGAAGAAATTAAGTGTCAAGACTATAGATATTAGACATTTATATAAACTTAATGTACCGCATGGAAAATGTAAATCCGACATTAAAAATTCTCCTGTTGTAAAAGTTGAAATAAAGTAAGACTGACAAAATAATGTATAATAGTCGGAGCATTCCTCGGTGAACCTTGTCTAGCTAAATTGCAATAGTTTACAAAAAGAAGTATTTTAAAAGGGGCCTTTTTACTCTTAAAATGATGGGATTTTTTCATAAAGAGCTTTGTAGAGAAGAAACCACAACGAAGTGACTTGCTTCAATTTAAGCAAAACGAAAACGAAGAGAAATTAAAGCTGTAATAGATTATGAAAAAGGCGAACGAATGAACCAAGTTTGGACTTGGAGGTTGTTCAAGATATGGCGACTGTATTTAATAGTGTGCCTTTAATAAAAATTAAATGATTTTTAGTGAAATTACCTTTGAATCATGAAGAAATCAGTCAAAAGGTTTCTTTTCAAGTAATAAGAAACGCTTTTCCAAAGCAAAACCTGTTTTAGCAGACGTCAGTGAGACCACAAACGCTTGTACCCCATTAATAAAAAGACGAAGAGGACCCAAGAGAAAGTCCTGAAGGTGTCCACTTCACTACAGGTGATCATTTTAGTCTAAGAATTTTTCAACATACCCCACACAAACCCAAAACAGTTGACAGCCTTGTTTATCCTTATATGTATTAAAACACAGTAGTTGACGCCAAATTTGAAGGAAACAAAGGGGTTTTCTCACAATAACATTTTGTTCACTGGAATCGAGTTTTACTTATAGAGATTAGAATTGTATTTACGAAATAAACAGCACTAGAAGTAGCTCATGCAAAACCTACTAGTCAGTTTTACTTTTATGGTAAAGCTAAAACTTTGGAACAGCACTGAACAAAATAATGTAATGTCAAGCTACTGAAACAGAGAAAGAAAGCAAAAAGCAAAAACAACACTGAAACAAAGCCAAAAAAAAAAGAAAAAATAAAATAATAAAAAAAATTATACACCTGCGTGGGTAAAAAGGGAACGTAAATGGAAATTAAAACTACGACACTTCGCAGTCTTTTAAACACCTAAGACTTAAACCACTCTTTTGTATGTATGCACATGTAGAAAAAAATTATCTGTAAAACGGAAAAAATTTTTTGCAACGGTTGCAGGCTCCGATCTTTCTTCAAAACGCAGACTGATTTTGACTTGCCTATGCTGCTCATTATTAGGAACTACAGTATCTAAGTAAGGAGACAAATTTCAGTCAGGTCTTTGAAATTTGAAATTTATCTGCATTTTATTGACATTGTTTGCACGAGGGGTTTGTACTGTCATTTGTTAGCGGGTAGGGTCTGCGACGTTCTTGTTAAGTTTCGTTTTAATTTGTTCTCAGTAACACTAAACGGTTAACTGTTAATACTAACACACATTGCAATGGCCAGTCAACTGTGTCTATCAAGGCCCTTTAGATGAGATACAAAGATGGTAATAATAAATTGCGATTTAGACCTATAAGGAAAATTGACTGCCTCTTTAGTATAAATTTTCGTATGAAAACAGCTTTTTTTTCAGTTTTCAAACGAACAAATCCGCGATAAGTGTATTTGTTCTATTTCTGAGTTGTCATGCTTCGGTTAACGTTGTGATAACTCATAGTACTGCACTGTGTCACAACTTTACATTCTGTCCTTTGGCCACTCGATTTAAATATACTTACAACAAGCAATACTAAAACTGATAGTAACTTTAAAAGACTTTGAGGGTTTTTGTAGGCTCTTGATCCTTGCCACATAATTAAATGAAACAGTTATAACTGGTCTGTAACATAATATACTAGGTAAGCCATACAACGTACAACGTTTATACTGAAGGAGAGACACCGTCCGCAACACCATTGGTAACATCAAATGCTACGAACAGTGTTTTTGTACCAAATGTATTTCATGTGCGTTAAAAGTCAAGAGCCTCGTTGATTTCGAAATATATTTTAAAATAAATAATTGAAATGTAGTAAAATGTCGAATATAACAACCTTGCGGATTAAGAATCTACAGGCTAAAAAAATGGAAAAGGTTTATATTTGGTGAGCAAGAAATAATTATATGGACTGGGAAATAATACTGCGCACCTGGCGTTGATACAGTTCAGTTTAATGTGTCTCAGGATAACTGAACTGATTTTGAAAGAGTGCAGGCATTAGACTCATGAATCTAAGTCTGAATTAATTGGTGAATATAAAGGCAAACTCTTCATCTGTATTAAAAACTTCATGACCTCTCGTGCATCACTCTTTAAAGAACATCATAAGACCATTAAGAATCAAAACAGGCTTAATTTGTCTTGTGCAAAAAATCTAATAAGAACCTATTCAGGCCGACTTGGAAAATTATAGGTTTTAACTGACGCGGGCAAGGTTTTGCGGTATATTCACA